TCTCTCTCTCTCTCTCTCTCTCTCTCTCTCTCTCTCTCTCTCTCTCTCTCTCTCTCTCTCTCTCTCTCTCTCTCTCTCTCTTGTGTTTCTCTATCGCACTCAATATATATACACGAACCTTCCTCGTTATTTCCTCCCAAGAACATCTCAAACATTTCAATATATATTTTGACCAACAAACACTCATATAATCATATATATATATATATATATCCTCATAAACCCTAAACCCTATCTTGTTTTAACAACTCTCTTGTTCCAAACTCAAGAGAAAAAAGAGGTTAGTTACATCAGCAATGGCTAAAGTCGGGAAGCTGACAAAGCTCAAGTCGGCCATAAAGAAATGGCCTTCCTTCACCAAGAACCACCACCACTCGTCCTCCTCTGCCGCCGTCTCCGATGAGCTCTCAGAAGACAACAATCTCCATGTTGTTTATGTTGGTCAGACTCGAAGACCTTACATGCTTAGACCGGACATCATCTCTCACCCACTTTTTCAAGAACTAGTGGACAGGTCTTCTAGATCCGTGGAACATGATCGTGAGATTGTTGTTGCTTGTGAAGTTGTTTTGTTCGAACACTTGTTGTGGATGCTCAAGACTGGTCAAGAAGGAGGATCCGTTGAAGAATTGGCTGAGTTCTATACTTATTGACATCGACCTATTAATTTTCTTACATTTATTTCGTATAATATATATACTTCCTATGTTTGTTATTTTTGTTAATTTGTATTTTGATTCGATGTGTGTGATCAAAAACGTGATCTCGTAAACCATGTCATTTGGTTATGTTTTTTTTTTGTTTTCTCGAGCAATTTTATGATGATGAGCATATGTAGCTTCTTACTTTGTTTGACCAACAAAGAATTATTCTCTTACCAGCAATTTTAATATTTACTTCAATATATATATATATATATATATATATATATATATATATATATTCCTTAACTGTAATATAGAGTATAACAAAAAGAATATGATGATTTTTCAGGAAAACTTATTTTATAATTGCCTTTTTATTATTTGTTTTTATTGTAGCGGTTTGATAGCTTTTGTTTCTATTTATGTAACGGAATCTATCTCTTGAGTCATGGCAGATAAAAGTACTTTAATGATGTTTGAAATTGCTTGAATTAATACTACAAATTTATGAATACATGATGAAGATCTCAGTTAACTAAACTATCTTCTTTATTTTGTTAAAATTACCAGCAATGAGTTATATCATTGACATTCATGGTGTTTTGTTTATAATCGGGGGGACCGGGGACAGTACCGAGCTAAGGTGTATACTACATAAACATTTCCCACTAGCTATTCTCGAAATGATTCAGACTCTGAAAGATACATAATGAAAAACAATTACAATGACATTTTCATATGTTTTTGCACTGTAGTTAAGTTTTGTATTTGCTTTTCAAACGTAATTAGTAAACCTCATTTTTTTAAATCCATCGAGACTCCACGTACCTACGTATCAGACATGGTCCTCTGTGTATCATATCATATCTACGGACTACGTTGTCCATCTCAAATATATGAATTTGTATAAATCATGAACTAATAAGTCTAATATGCATTTTCTTTTAAATGCAAATTATTAATAATGGTCGCTCTCATGACGCGTTGGTGACCTGGTCCCAAGTTCATGTCCCTACTCTCTTTTTCTAGTTGCAGAATGTTAAATATTCATTTTTAATGTTTCTGAACTTCCTTCCAGCCATATAAATATATTAATTATAAAAAGAAATATACTAAAATTTACAGATTAATTGCATATTAAAATTATAGTTTTGTATGCACACGCGATTTATTTGTTGTTGAATATGAATTTGGTCGTATTTGGTAGAGAGGATAACAAACTCGATTGTGGGTTATTTCGAAAGTATTTTTATCAATCAGAAGATAGAGTGACATTACATCGAATAAGAACAAGCCGGCACTAGTTAATGTTGGCCGGAAGAGTAAAAGTTGGCGAGAAACTAACAGAAGTAAAATTCTAATATTTTTGGCCACCAGTCTCTATATGTTTAAGTCTGAATATTTTTTTTCCTCATCGCTCTTTCTTTTTTCTCTTTTTATACATAAATCTTCAAACATGTTTTGCTCTAATTCAGTTTAACTCTTTTTTTTCTTTTTGCTAAATTAAATAGGTTTAACTTAATGCCAGAAAACGTTTAACAGATCGAATAGACATGAGCATTTCACTCAGATCCGAGGATCCGACCTGAAACCAACCCAAAAATATAGGTTTGGGTTCAGAACCGGAACCCAGAATCTTACGCTATTGGATGAAGCGATAGAAAATCCGTCGGTAGGAGGTTCGAGTCCAAAACCAATTCGGGACCCGATCATGTATTTTTGGAACCAAAATTTGTTAGACCTAATGACTTATTCTAGAACCGAGGCACCGTTCATACTCCTCTTATCAATGTTATTGTTTTATGTTCGAGTAATATGCAAGTTTATAGTTAAAAATAGATCTAAACTCATATTTAATATGTAGATTCGATATGAAATATTAGGAACCGACCCGAAATATGTGATATTTACCTCAAAATGGACTCGAAATACCTAGAACCAATCCAACACCATAAATATCTGGAAAAAAAATTGGATATTAACAAATATGAGACAAGCGAATCCGAACCAACCCAAACCCGACAAAATCCGATCCGAAACCGACTCTCAAAAAATTATAGATATTTATTTGGGTCCAAATGTATAGGATCCAAAGAATCTGGATCCGACAACACTCGAGCACCTAGATGCCCAAGCCTAGGGTTGAGCAACATGACTGAGCATTCGGGCTATTGAGCCGGGTAGCATTGAATTAAACTGACTTAGAGAACCAAATTCTTTATTTGATGGGATTTATGGAAGGATATAATCAGTCTCCAACACGAACAATCAATGTACATATATTTGTAGCTAAAAAAATGTTGTTGATAGAAACTGATAATTGTCGTGGCGGTGACGAAAGGGACGCATGGAACATTATTAAAGAGTCTCGAGGACTTTATCTATAAAGAAAGTAATTAATTAAACAAACATAATAATCATATTAAGTACGATCATAATACTAATGCTCTAATATAAAATTAAACAAGAGGAGAAGTTTGGTTGTTAAGTTTAAATTAAGTAACGTAAATTGATTCCGACAAGCTAATGATTGAGAAGTCAATCAGTGTGTCCTTTCCGCAAACTTCATGGAGATTTCTACTTCTGTCTTGTTCATCAAATCTCTTGCTGCGCCTCTACTGTATGTACAAACTTGGGGTTTGGCAATCAATAATCAAAAGATCCTATGGGCCGAAAATATGGCACAACTTGGCCACATGGGCCCAAAGAAAACGATGAAATGAATGGCACAACTTATGTTACAGAACCTATGTCCTGCTAAAGATTTTTTTTCTTTTACATTCATTCCTCTTTGATTCATATTAACAACTATTGAGACGAAATAAGATTTCTGAATATTTGGAATATTCCTCTTTGATTCATTGGAGATTAAAGCTGGAGGAAATGGACCCGATTGCACTGGTTAGTCTATGTATAGTGGTCAAGTGTACTTAGCCTTTTCCTTTTGTTGCTCTTTTGCTTGGTTCTGATACACCCAGTTAGTGTAAGATAGATTTTCAAATAAACTTGTCGTTAAATGGAGGCATGTAAATGTTAATAATGATACTCTACACCATTTTTTTCTTGATATCTTGATCTGCAATTTGTTTGGTTTTTAGCCGTTTAGGTTCTTTTATGTGTCTCTGGTGACATAAGGTGTATAGGAATCCACTTTTTTTTTTTAAACTAAACCGTTATTTTTGATTTAGAAATTGGGTAAATTCGCCAGGACAAGCAGAAGATAACTCATGGCAAGCTTTTGTGTTTGCTCCAAAGGGAAACTGGTATACAGCTAAGGCAAGTCTTATACTTTTTTCGACAATGCAACTTGTGGTTTTGTTACTTTCCAAATCCAAGTTTTGACAATTTTATGTTCAGGTACCTCTTACTCGCTACTTGCCTACGTGGAAAGGAAACGTGATAGATTCAGACATGGAGATGAATCAAGGTCGTGTTGTGGGTATGTCTCTATCAGTCATAAAAACCATAAAAACTGATGCTCTCTGGTTTACTTGTAAAACCGGGATTTGGGTTAAACCGGATCCAAGTTGGTGGACAAAAGAAAAACGTTTGAGAAATGACCACTTACACGCAAGTTGTCTTGGCTTTATTAGAACAAAAAAGTCAGATGAATAAAAATTACTGGCCCATATGAAAGCAAATTGCTCAATTTGATCAAAACTATAGCTTAAATTGACTATTAAATTATTTGAAAACAATAATTACATTTGTGACTAACGTTTGAACCGATGAGGAGAATAGGGTGGGTGGGTACGACGTAGGGTCCCGACATCACATCTCTAATTATGTGTTTACATCGTTAATCACTTTTGTCCGTACAAGTTGTAATCACTTTCTAAATAAAAACCAAAGCTTTTTATCTTCGTAGTTATTTACTTTTACATGATATGTGTTTGATAATGTTACCGTAGCTTTTAATCACAAATTCGTGAATCTTCCGATTCATTGCCAGAAAAGTAAAGAAGAAGATTTTTTTATATCTTCAAAGATTTTTTAATTATTTTTAAGATATTTGCAAAAAACTGGTTGCGTATAATAAGAAAAAGAATTAGTAGTAATATACTTTAATAAAGTTGTTGTAGGCTAAAAACGAGGATAAATATAAAAAGACAAGTAGTTCAAGTGGCGAGTTTCTCGATCATTCTTTGTTACGAGTAGTCACCAATATATAAACTATATATTATACAAACACAGAGCACGATACCTCAAATCTCAAAAACTTCTCTGCTTCTTTTCTTTTCTCTTCTCTTCTTCTCTTACTCCACGTTTGCATATCCTCTGCACCTATACCTACACATTCACTTTCGATCTATTCTATTGTTACTTCTTATAAACTCGTCCACTTGACCTTATTAACACATTAATTCAGACAAAACTCTCTCTCTCTCTCTCTCTCTCTGCAAAACTCATTCTAGTATCATCATCATCATCAATGGAGAAGGAAGACTTGTATGCTGTTATGGATTTGCACAACGAATGTTCACAAGGCGATCTCAAAAGTTCTTACAAGAACCTTGCTCTGGTTCGTACTTCTTTTCTCTATCTTTGTTTACTTCTCTTGTTTCGTTTTATACCTAGGGTCTAGTAGTGCCTGAATGTGAACTGGTTCTGTAATTTCTGGTTAGGAAAATTGGAATTAAATTTTGTTAATATTTGTTTCATGTGTGTAGAAATGGCATCCAGATCGGTTTAGTGAAGAAAATGAGAAAGACAGAGCCAATACGAAATTTCAATCCATTCAAAAAGCTTATTCTGGTAAGTAATTTCACTCGGTTTACTTTTGAACCGGGTCTGATTGTGGCTCTTCCGGTTTAGTAAATAGTTTTTGTTGTCAACAGTTTTGTCGGATTCGAACAAGAGGATGTTGTATGACATCGGAGCTTACGACAGTGATGACGACGAAACTGTAACTTCTCTTCTTTTTTTCCTTACCTTAAAACAAAAAAAAATATAATTTTACATATATATTTTTTTTTCTAATTTTGTTGCTTTGTGTAGGGAATGGCTGATTTCATAAATGAGATGGTGACTCTGATGTCTCAAACTCAATCTACGGTAATTATCATTTGGTTACTAATACTAATTAATTAGTAATATGATGGCTACTTATGGTGATGGTGCGCTTTTGCATAACTTGGAACTCAGGGAGATGAAACCTTAGAAGAATTTGAGAAGTTGTTTGAAGAATTGTTGATGGATGATGTGAATCAATTCAAAACTCCTCCATCTTCATTTCCTTATGCACCATTTAGTGGTGGCATGGTGCATGGCGATGATTTGTCAAATGATGATATCCCAAACAAAGTTAACTTTGACAGTTATTGCTGTATAAGTTCTGGTGAGGTATTATTTGATCTGCTCTCTTCTCTAAAATGTATGGATATTATAAACTCATTTGGATGATAATGTATGGATACTAGAGCCTTGTTAAAAAAAAGAAATGGTAATGTGTGTTTGTAGGATTGAAATGGATGCTGACAAGTTGATGTTTTAATAAAGGTGGGTGGTCCATCCAAGAGTTCCGGCCTTGGCACTAGAAGATCTAAGAAGTAGCTAGAGTTTTTTTTGTTTTTTTTTGAACTTCAATTTTTTTTTAGTTTTCTGTCGTCGTGGTACTGTAAAATATGGCATGTAAATTTTTTTAATATACAATGTAACTTCTACTTCGTCTGAATTTTAATTTTTGAACAGCTATGGTATCTGACTCAAATAATATGTTTTTTTTTTTTGGAACTCTCTCGAATAATATGTTTCAGTTGTTCATATTAACTCCTTGAGAACATAAATGTACTGGTGGTCATTAGAGTTTTTGCTATGAATTAAGTTATTGATGTTTTGTCAGACAAAAATTAGATTACGTCTTAGACCTTATTAGAAGATTTGAAGTTGAACTAGGCATCAATATCAATCTTCTTGGGAGATTAGTTAGACTTTGTTGTAAATATCTCCGATTAATCTACAAGTCAGCAATATATTGGCAAAACTATGAAGGCATTGTCCGAATCTTGGCACCAAGTTGGTTGAAGATAGATAGCTCGAAGTTGTGGTGGATAGAGTGAGATGCATGGCTGCAACTAGTAGCATCTTTCTTCAATGTAGGGTAAAGTCAATAACGTTAGGAACAGGATATTTTTGTACGAAGCTTTTAGGAAAAGTGGGACCAGGAGACAAAAGCTATTCAACACAAGTTGTCATTTGTTTTTTCTTTGTAGACCTGCGACTACGACTCTACAAGTCTTCTCTTCTCTTCCCTTCTTTTCTCTTTTGGAAAAATATACACATTGTTATATTTGTAGAGAAATTAAAATCATGTCATCCACTAGTAGACGAAGGTTACATTATTACATACCTATCATGGTGAACAAAATTCCAAGTTGGATGAAAAGATATTACAAGTTGAAATGAAATGATACCTAATTGTGTTTTTCTACTACCAAGTTGATAATTATTGGTGGCTTTATTGAATCTGATTCATTACTTTTTATCTTTTCAACTTGTGTGTAAAACGCTGGCTCATGTTTATGTGAGTTTGGTTCCCAAATCATGTATAATGCTGTTACGACCTGAATGTATTGGAATCTTATAATCAAATGATAAGAACAAAAATATTCAAATAAAAAATCTCCAAATAAGCCTGAAGCAGACTATGGTTACATTATTACATACCTATCAATGGCACTTTCACTTGCAAAGCACAACAGATGCTTTACTTTCTCTACAGGCACATGCCACGAATCTTCTAACTTCAAATGCTTATTCAATGTACACGCAAATTTTAGAACTGCGACACTAAAGGAGTTCCTATGCTTGTCCATCAATAAGTTAAATTACACAACTCATCTTTTTATAGATGCATGAATTTTAGTACCAACCATTAGGATTCTTGATTAGGGGTTATTACCAGCAGAGTTGTTCTTGGGACCTTGAAGCTCCATTGGGGAATTGGCGATGCTACCAACAGATCCATGTGTCTGAGAACTTAGCTGTGGACTCGGTGGACAAGTCTCGAGGTTGCTTGTGCTGATGGGCTGCATGGGACCGGAGCTTATCTGAGGACTCATAGGAGTTCTTGGGTTCATTTGCTGGGGACTCATTGGAGTTCGTTGGTTCATTTGCTGGGGACTCATTGGAGTTCTCTGGCTCATTTGCTGGGGACTGGCCTGTTGCAGCTGCTGCTGGGTAATTCCAGCTGATGGTGAGCTTACTTGGGGTGGTGATAGCACAGACTGAAGAGGGGAGGCTATTGACTGTTGCTGCTGCTGCTGTTGTGGCTGTTGAGGCAGCTCATGTTGTTGTAGCTGCTGCTGCTGAGACTGAGCTAGCTGCTGTTGCTGCTGAGATTGAGATAGCTGCTGAAGTGGCTGAGACATAGGCTGCTGTAAGTGTTGTTGCTGCTGCAAATGTTGTTGTTGAGGTTGTTGTTGCTGCTGCTGTTGGAGTTGCTGTTGATTCATGTAAAGATTCATTCCAGGCATCATCTTAGGTGGGGCCATGTTGCCCATAGCAGCAGCTCGCTGCAGGTTAGCTCGGTTAAATGTATTCTGATCCATCATAGAAAGACCAGCTGAGCTGGGATGCATCTGCCTGGCACCTGACATGCCGCTTAATCCAGCTTGGGGAGCACCCATTACACCTCCTCGGTTCGCTAACCTAAGATTTGCAAGTACAGCAGCGCTCTGGTGTGGTGGTAATGCACCAGATCGGATCTGCTGGCTTATAACATTCAAATTTGATGCTGGATGATTCATTGGGTTCTGGCCCACATTACTGATGCCAGGACCAGACATCGATGATGAGATTCCCGTTCCTGCAATCCCTCTTCCTGCCATATTCAATTGGTTGCCAAAAGCTCCAAGCGCAGCAATATTATTCCCCATACTTCCCACTCCCAAGCCATTGCTAGCACCTGATCCTTGCCCCATCATCATCTTTCTCTGAAGTGCCGCCTGGTGATGTAACATCTGTAGTTGCTGAGGCGAAACCTTGTTCGCCATCTGACCACCTGGATGCATGCCAGAGCTCTGGCTCATAGAGTTGATAGCTGATAGCGGATTTGTAGGCATAGTCATAGATGCTCTCTGCATTTGTGGATTCTGCTGTGTAAATATGGACTGTTGATTTTTCTGTTGTAGCTGTGACAGTAACGCCGCCTGTTGTTGTGGGTCAAGCTGTTGTGTTTGCATAGGCATGGAGACACCAGACAACAGTCCTTGAGACATTTGCATGGCTTGAGAATTTGCCGGAGGGAGCATCCTTGCATTTGCATGACTAATCTGGGTCGAGTTAATAGGCGCACTTCCAGTAGTCCCCTGTTTCGATGCCTCACTGGGCGCTTGTCCAGAAGCTGCATCTCCATACTGTTGCATATCATTTGCAGAGTTACCTCTTGGAAAACCACTCGCAGAATTCGGTTGGCTGCTGCTTTGGCCAGCTTCCCCACGATTTGACTTTGCCTGAATATGGTCTTCCATGAGGTATCCTTCACGGGACATCATCTGCATAAGCATATAAATAATCCATCTGTGAGTAGGGGTCATTTAGAACCAGGAAGGTGACATAAGCAATTCAGAGTTCGAGAAATACCAGTGATTTGAATTCAGCAGCAAGAAGGTCGGCGATGTGCTGTGAAAAAGTGATGATTATAAGTCAACATGACATTGAATGCAAGTTGAAGATATAAATAATGCTGATCTAAAAAAAAAATGCAGAGTGAATTTGATAACTGTCACATGTCCGGACAACTTACAGTATTGGGCAGCACTAACAGATGATCTTCACACGGATAAGCATCAGCATCATCTATGTCTCCTTGATACCATGCTACTGTCCCGTCGGGCTTCTCTGACATCACCAGTCTTGTTCTTATTCTAGGGACGAGGGAAGAAACAGCACCTGAAAATATGGAGTCCGAGTCAGAGTCAATCAAATAGAGAAAGTACCAATCGCCATATATCTGGTTTAGAACAGAAAACAGACCTTGCATTACACGGTCTACCCGAAGAAAGTTCATGACTCTTGTTTTGCAAGTATTCATGCTGCCACCAAGAATAGATTTTGATAATACTTTGTCTTCGTCCTTGAAGTCCTCGTTGTTGGACATTTTCGAAAAACAATCCATCAGGGACACGTGATCGTAAGAGCGAGGTCTCAGACAATAATCATCCACCTTATGCTTTTTGCAGTTTAGCTGGTACCTAGAAATAGAACCAAACACTATTAAAAAAAAAATCTAACGACACAAAACATGAAAAACTTCTTCCTGCACCAACAGATATAATTAATTTAATAAATGCAATGAGATAAAGAAAGTAAGACAATGCAGACAATGGTCTAGTATAAAGCCAAAATCAGGAGAAGTATCACATGTGTCAAATTCATAAAAAGGCTATTTGTTCGATTACTTGTTTCTCAACTATACTAGCCGCAATAAGAAGATTTTGATGGGAATAACCTCATCAAAACACGATTCATAAAAAAGCCATACCTTGCAGCAACTAGTTCAATTTTTGAGAATCTGTCGAGGATTGCGTGATCGCCCAAAGTTTGGGTTCCCACTGAAGGGCTCCTCGCATTAAATGGGACACTCATAGTATTGACACTAACAGGAGAACCAACACTGGTCATAACTTGCGTCTTAGGGTGAGAATTTGTCCTACGTTTTGGAGCCATTTGGTGTAGCCTTTGCTGCATAGCATCATTAGCACTAGAACCTACTGACTGAGTGGCACCGACAGCAGGAATTGAAGTAACAGCCTTGTCCTTTTGAGCTGCTGCAACTGCTCCAAAATGGGTCCCCATTGAACCACCAGAAAACTCACCAGACTTCGATGAAAGTGGGGACTGTGGAGGAGCACCTGCTGATAAACGAGGGCTTTGAGACGATACCCTTCTACTGAATTGTTCTTCTCTTTTCGGGTCTTTTTCAATCTGCTGGCCTGGATTAACATTCCAGGATGTTTGAGGGAAATTTGATCTGTTTAGTCCATTATGGGGCATCCTAGGCTGAATACGCGGATCCAAATCATTTGCATCGCTTCCCAGTCCCGGCATATTGTTTCTGATATTATTACCAATTTTACCAGTCTCAAATGGCTCCTCTTTCGAAGCGTAACGCACTGCCCCCTGTTGTGAAGCTGGAAATTGCATGGAACCACCTGCCTGATTCATTGCTCTTTCAATTTGCTGTGGTGAAAACCTCTGAATATTTGCATTTGGATACTGAATATTTCTACGAAGCATGTCTTGTTGTAGAAGCGCATTTTTCCAATTTGTATCGGTTCCATGAAGGCCATCCATGCGTTGCCCTAACTGTTGCTGTGGAACCTCATCAGGACCCATATGTGAAACCCTTGTTCGCTTATTCAAACCAGACAATTGTACTTCTTGGCTTTCTCTCTTTCTATTAAAAGATGCACCGGGGTTCATTTCAGAGGCATAAGGCAACACCGTATCTAGTCCACCAGGCGAAGCTCCAGAAACACTGACAGAATTCGATCCTTGATCCTGCATGTTTCTAATTCCAGTTCCCATGTACCTTTGTTGCTGAGGTGGTACCAAAGGCAGTAGGGAAGTTGACGCATCTTGTAAGGTCTGATTTCTTAATCCCGCCAGCATGTTGGTACCAGGATTTTGAATAGCCTGGTTGTGATGGGTTTGATGCATTAACAAATGTCCCTGCATGTTTCCTCGCTCTGAACTTTCGGGAAGGCGATCAATGCAAACCTTTTTCCCATGAATCTTGTTCTGAGACATGACTGTCACTTCTGTCATTTGCCTCAATCTCTTTCTCCGCAACGTAGAAAGAGACAAGTCGAGCTATGAAGTATAAACAAAACCTTTTTAGACATTATAAAGAAGAGTGAGCAGAGAAAGCACAAGTGATTTTAACAAGATATTACCTTAGCAGACACAGGATTTTTACTCAGCCTATCAAGTCTCGGTACAGGATCCAGACAAAGTTCAGGTTGTATGGCTTTTAATATCCTGGATTCCACTTCCTACAGGTAATGTAAGATTAGTACAGAATAGTCTTAATACTCATATCTTCGACTTTTAATCCAAGACCAACAGTAAGTCAGTAACTACCATGAGATCACCGTATGTCCATGAGCTGTCTGACATTGATGGAATATCTTTTACCACGTTCTCGAGTGACATCTTTAGGCGCACTTTATTTATCACAGGAGCGACTTGCTCTGGAGTAAGTTTCCGATAGTCACGCACCTACAATAGTATATGTATCAAAAATTAAAGAAAGCATTTTATGTAAGCTGATACCTGAGTAATCAATTAGAGGGAGATAAAACAAGGCTATTTTTCCGTTTCGTTTGTTTTAATTACTCCAACGTGTATCAGAAGTTCATAGTAAACATAACCATGGTAATTACAACTAAATTTAACAACTTATGGAAGGCAATGCAGGAATTAGAACCATAGTCAAATACAACTAAATTCAAGCCTTAGGAATTTTTTTCTTAGTTTATGGGACAACCATGTCAGACTACTAGTTTACTTTGACTTGATGGGAGAGGTCATAGATGGCTTAGGCTCAATTCAAAGTCAGATAACTCACCTCACATATGACCACACCGTCCACAAATTTGCACGGTATATCTTCCAACATGTCCCCAGGAAGTCTACCAGCCTCAATAGCCTACATCAACCAGAGGAAATAAAAACATACTCAGTGGAATGAAGGCTTTAATTTGACTTTAACGAAATTCGAGCAAGTAGTTCAGTCAAAGTTTAATTCGGTTTGAGCGAGGGGAAAGATAAACATCATCCTCACATATACTTAATTTAACAGAAAAAAAATAACAATTGCACTGGCATAAGATCCTAAATGAACTCAAAATAAATTCTTGAAAACCGACAGCCATAATAGAGATTTCTCAAACTTCTTAACCAATAACTAGGAATGCAGATCTGTTGGCTCTAATTAATATAACAAACTCAAAACTTACTTTGTAACAATTCACCAAATGTGAAATCCAATTTTACAAAGAAGAAAAAATATTTACCGAAAGTAGACTCTCTGCTGCCCTGTCATACAGTTGCAAGACCTTTGGAGCATCTCTAAACGATGCCTGGTTCTCAAAAGAAATTGTGGATTAATCAAAAAATTAAAAACTACAAGATAAATAAAGAGACTCTCAATATATAAATCTCCATTACATACACATACCTCAGAAGGTTTTCCTATGGAATACCCATTCGGATAAAGACTCAACACGAAGGAAACTTCATGATCTGCAACAACAAAAAAAGCACACAAATTTAAACATAGCTCCAGTTCAGCAAAAAAAAACATGACTCTATCCAGATACTAACCTGGAGATACATCAAGCAACGAAGCATCACCACCATTCCTTTCAACAACGGCCTGCATCAAAAAAAAACACACAATAAAAGTTCGCCCAATCTAATAAAAAAAAGTCTCTTTTTCTTTTTCGAACCATTGTTCACAGTAGTGATGTAATAATAACAAACATAATTCCTCAAAATTAGATTTTTTTCTTTCACCAAATAGTACCTTCGATTTAGGTTGTAGAACGATTGATTTCTGATTCAGCTGTTCGGGAGAATCAGGAGAAACCGATTCAGTAGAAACCTTGGGACGGAACTTTCTACCAGTCTTCGATATCTTAAACGTCACACCCATCAGCTCTCTCTCTCTCTCTTTCTCACCAGAGATCAAATCTCTCAACCCGTTGCAACAAAAAAAAACGAATTGAGACTTCAAAATTTGAAGAAAAATTAAGAAAAAAGGAGAATGAAATTGAAGCCTTTTATAAGCTAAATTTTTCGGATAGGATCATAAAACCACGAGAATTCACAAACGAGAATGGAAGAGAAAGAGAGATCAAATCATTAGGGTTCTAACTGTGTCTTATAGGTTAAGAGAAAATCATCCAAAGATATATATCTTTTGCTGATTGGCGAGTAAGCGATACACAACTTAAAATCTCTAAACCGAACCGAACCAAAATTAGAAAACCGAAAACAGTTAAAATCAAACCGGAGACTAAAAACCAGCGATTTTTATTTTTACGAGGGTATAACAGACTTTTTAACACAAACTAGGGTTTTTTTTTTTGCGCTTCATATATTAGCGTCTCACACGCAGCCACTTTTAGCTTCCCCCCGCCTCTCATTAAACTCAACACTGCAGAGAATCTCAAGAGAGAAGACAACATGGCGGCGAGTCACGGATCTGCTAACTCGAGGCAGCTTTCACAGATGGAAGCTGACATCAAGATGATGTGTGCTGCTGAGGTTCACCTCGGTACCAAGAACTGTAACTACCAAATGGAGCGTTACGTTTTCAAAAGACGCAATGATGGTAAACTCTTTAAAAATGTTCACTTTTTTTTATCAGATTCTATGTTGTTTTTGTTTATGATCTGTGTTTTTTTTTTGTTGGTTCCGACAACTGTTAGTTTAGATTAGGTTTCTGTCGGATTACGTCTTCAAAAGACGCAATGTTAATGATTTCTCGTTGTCTTAAAATGTTCACTTTATACATTCTTCAAGTAGATATGACTTAGAGCATTGAGATTCTATGTTGTTTTGTTTTGTCTTGTTACTGTGTTTATGAACTGTTTTTTTTGGTTCCGACAACTGTTGTTTAAAATTAGGTTTGGTCGGCTGATGTTTAAATCTGTTAAGGGATGCTAGTGTTGTTCTTGATTGCCCTTGAACTTGAATTATTTGGCTTATTTAAGTTTATATTCTTTCTTTTAGTAATGAAATTTCTTGGTTTTACTTGTCAGGTATTTACATATTTAACCTTGGAAAGACATGGGAGAAGTTGATGATGGCAGCTAGAGTTATTGTTGCTATTGAGAATCCACAAGACATCATTGTGCAATCTGCTAGACCTTATGGTCAAAGAGCTGTTTTGAAGTTTGCTCAGTACACTGGTGCCAATGCTATTGCTGGAAGACACACTCCTGGTACTTTCACCAATCAGATGCAGACTTCTTTCAGTGAGCCCAGGCTTTTGATTCTTACTGATCCACGTACCGACCACCAGGTAAAAGACACGTTTTTGACTGATGTTGTCCTGATTGAATTGATGGTTTTGTCTTGACTTGGATCTTGTGTGTGTATGTGTGTGTGTAGCCTATTAAGGAAGGTGCTTTGGGAAACATTCCAATCATTGCTTTCTGTGACACTGACTCTCCCATGAGGTTTGTTGACATTGGTATCCCTGCTAACAACAAGGGGAAACACAGCATTGGTTGTCTTTTCTGGCTTCTTGCTCGTATGGTTCTTCAGATGCGTGGTACCATTCGCCCTGCTCAGAAGTGGGATGTCATGGTAAGAAGGGACTTGTAATTTCATTTCTTGTGTTCCTTTATGGTGTGTGACTTTCTTTATATGTTGTTGTGCTGGTACAGGTTGATCTGTTCTTCTACAGGGAGCCAGAAGAGGCTAAGCCAGAGGATGAGGATGAAGTTGCTCCTCAGGCTGAGTTTGGACTACCTGCTCCTGAGTATGGAGGTGGTGGAGAGTGGAGCACTGCTGCTATCCCTGATGCTTCTTGGACAGGAGAAGGTCAGGCGCCAATCTCTGCTGCCCCTGCTGGTGCTTCATGGAACGAGTCCGGTTAGTCTTGACATATATAACCTAAAACATATATCTTGGTTCTTTGGTCTGGACAAATATTAATTGTTTGTTCTTTGCGTTCTTTTTTTTAAGTAGCACCAGCAGCAGAAGGTGGATGGGACCCGGCTGTGCCACCGACCGCAGCAGTGACCAATTGGGAATAAAGTTGTTAGCCTTTACAATGTGGCTATAGACATGGTTTTTTTGTTGCTGTTGGGATCAAAGAGTTCGCTGTTTTTTCTTTTTTCACTCCTTTCTCTTGAAGACAAGACACACTTAGATTACTCTGTTTTTGCACCTTTTTTGTTTTTGAATTGTTCACTCTATTCATCTCCTGCGCTTCAATTTATATCGCACAATTTTGAAAACAAATCAAAATGCTTTCTCTTACTTAATTTGAAGGGCCAACATTATATTACCAATTGTAAATGGCCATCATTTCTTTGACAATTACTATACGCAAAGCATTATGTAATTGGAACGTATATTATAATAGCAAATCATCAGTAGTTTCCTGAACAAGTTAAATTGAAAGAAGAATATCTCGTAAATCCGGGAGATAATATTACAAAACTTAGATTAAAATGGAAACATTCCATAAAAGAAGCAAATTACTATGACAAGACAAGCATTTAATACCACAATGAAGTTCAGACAAAACTTCCTTAACTGACTTCAAACTCTGTATATATAAATATCAAACAGGAATATACTTTTTTTTCTCAAAGAACTCTTTCTTTTTTTGTAATTAGGGTTAACTCAAAGTATTCTTCCGATCTCCTAATCATTGCCCTCAACATGGAGGAAGATGGAGAGCCTTCATCAACAACTTGCTTGTCTCTCACGGAACAAAAGCCCCAACAAAACCCTAAAACCACCAAAGGTCGACAGAAGATAGAGATCAAACAGATCAACGACGAGAGCCGGAGACAAGTGACGTTTTCTAAACGCAGAAGCGGACTTTTCAAAAAAGCGGCTGAGTTAAGCGTCCTGAGCGGCGCACAGATTGGTATCATAACGTTTTCACGTCGCGGTAGGATCTACACGTTTGGTAACGTGGACACACTCATCGAAAACTACTTGCGCAACACGCCAGTGATGCTGAGGTCACATCATCCCGGTGGTGACGTTGAAAACGGAGGAGACGGTGTGAAGTGGTGGGAGAAGGCGGTGGAGAGTGTTCCTGAGGAGGAGATGGAAGAGTACATGACGGCTTTGAATGTGTTGAGAGATAATCTGTGGACGAGGATCTGTCAGCTGGGTGGTGATCGGACGGCTCAGATGAATCCTATGGCTGATATTGAATCGAATGTGACAGATGAGAATCTGACGGTTAGGAATGATCAAGGTCAAGGAGGTAACGATGGTCCGTTTCTGTCTCAAAACCTTAGGTAATGATGAAGTGTTCTTAAGTATTACACTTTGGTGTTATATTTTATATATTGTATGTTTATCTAAATCATTTACAACTGTGTAACTCATGATTTCACGTTTGATATTGATTTGTTTAGCTTAATTAACTCATGATTTCACGTTTAATATTGACACAATTGCTAACTGTAACAAAACAAAAAACCTGTTCCAAGCTTGTATGTCCATTAAAAAAAGGAACTCGACTCCAGGAAAAAACTAGGTTGTGTATTGGTCCATTGTCCATAATACAAAAATAGAAATAAGGTTTTTGGATAAAAAGCAGTGACTATGTGGAAGCAAGTAGTTATTAAATAGGAGTGACAATTAGAGATAGAGTTGAATAAGCTCATCGCTAACAACAGAGGGAGAAAGAACACCAAGGTCAGTGAAGAGTAGCGTCAGGTACTGTGGTGGAGTATAATCTCTAGCCGACCTTTCTACTTCCACCTTTTCAGGAATCTTCACACCAAACTCTATCGGTCTTAGCGCCGGTGCCATGTCCTTTTGGTCTAATGGGTAAAGCCTAGCAAACTACAAAACACAAAACAACTTTCATTATGATTAAGCATCCTCTCTAGGATCTTTAATAAAATAATTAAAATAACCTTGTAACTCTCGGCGGCGACATAGACCGGTTTGTTCATGCTGTGTGCGACTAGTGCGATTTGGTAAGTTCCCATCATGTTGATAATACCGCCACTTTCTACAACTCCATCTGCTCCCACAAACACCATGTCCACCTCGTCCATGCTATACGCCACAGCTGAATCAAGCAGTAGCTTCACAGGAATGTCGAGCTTAGATAACTCATTTGATAACAAAACTCCTGTTCCATCCGGTCTTCCCTCTATAATTCATAGAAATGGTTCAATGAGAGAGTGCTACTAATACTTCAAAATCACAAGAGAAAGAGACCTAATGCCAACATTACATAAACCACAAGCAACAAAAAGTCTCAAAAGACTCAGAACACCGTGTATAAATCAAGAAAACAAGACATTAACTAGCTATAACTTATGTTCCAATACAAGCTAAGATAAAAAGTAACAACTAAACAACATCATGTACCTAATAGGAACACAGTAGAACAAACATCATGTACCTGTACATAGAACTCGGAAGAGCTTGTTGTTTTGAGCAGCAGTCTTGAGTATCTCAAGAACAACTCTGGAGAGTCCATGAACCAATATAGTACAACCATCGAATATAAAATCTTGACTAAGCATTGCTATAATCTTACGAGCCTGCAACAAAACTCAACACCTCTCAGTTCTTGAATATACATTTTGATGTAACAAAAAAAAAATAATAATAATACCTTGCAAGAGATTTCACCAAACTTCTCAGCACGTTCAAGAAGACGAGACTTAGCCGAATTAAAATCCTCATACTCCAAAGCAGACGTCCTCGTCACGTATCTTATAAACAGATCGCATCCAGCAGTCAAAGAGATCGATGTCTTGTCCCATGACTAACAACAACAACAACAAAATTAAAACAGAACACTAAACTCTTGTCCCATGACTAAAACAACAACAACAAAATTAAAAACAGAACACTAAACTCTTGTCCCATGACTAACAACAACAAAAATTAAAACAGAACACTAAACTCTTGTCCCATGACTAAAACAACAACAACAAAATTAAAAACAGAACACTAAACTCTTGTCCCATGACTAACAACAACAACAACAAAAATTAAAACAGAACACTAAAGTCTTGTCCCATGACTAAAACAACAACAAACAAATTAAAACAGAACACAAAAGTCTTGTCCTTTCATTACCTTGAGTGTGTCGGAAGCTTTCTTAAGCTCAATCTCAAGCTCCATCATGGTACTAGCCTCGCTGGCACGAATAACAGCAGCTAAAGCCCTTATAGCCGCGACGGCTTCAGCCAGATCCGGCTGTTTTCTCCAGCCGTTAAACTCTTCAATTACATTAAAAGACTTCTCCTTTTCGATATCAGAGACTGATGAGTTAGGATTCTCGTCTTCGCCGGAGACGCCTCCCACGGCGGCTTGAGCTTGGGCTAGCCAGTCGCTTGTGATGACGCCGTGGTGAGCCGCTCGGGTTTGGTAGTAAGCGGAGATGGAATCAGGGTTTTGGAAAGGGGCTCGTGTTGTGGTGTCTGCCATGGGAGGTGAATTCGAGGTTTGGCGTTCGAGAATAAACGACGCTGATCTTCGCCACATTGCTTTTATTTTTACGTTTTTTTTGCTGAAATTGGGAAAAAAAAAATTAAACGTCGCTTTCTCGAGAAAAAAATATGTTTTTGTTCAGTTCTGAGAGTCATATAGTTTCATATAAGGCCCATTAACGGCCCTATTTGCTTGTTCTATGAGACTTTTTGGGATCTAGTTTGCCTATTGTGTCAATAATCTTTTGTGTTTCAGATGGTTAGGATGTTTATCTTAATCTAATGACTTCTAGGCCATTCACTATGATTAGTCCTTACATCTACACACATTCTAACCATGTAGTAGTATACTTCCTTTAGATGATGATCATGTGATTAGGCACGTGATTATTGGTGGTAAAGCTCTTCATGATAAGGCTCTGCTTAGTCAAACAATATAGAACTCTTGTGTTGATCTGAGAAATTAAACAAATGCTTTGATTTTCATTATCTCTTGAAATATATAAATGATATCTTTGTAGGATAAAGCTATAGTTAAAAGAAGTCTCAAAGACAAATTAAGCCAATGAGACCATAGAAGAGAACACATCAATTCAACGATAACTAACTAGCTCATGTTATTTGAATACATGCTACTTTCAAATAACATTTCTTCTCTAACCTTATTTCAATGCAAAGTAACTTAAAAAAAAAAAAAATTCTTTATCAAGAAAAATAAAACTTACAATCTTGTCATCCTCCAACAACGTTATATAGTTTTTGCATTAAAAATGAACTGGGTCTTAATAGGCATTTTGGAAGCACCTACTGTAATAGCTTTTCTAGCTACACTTTCAGGTACACCAGCCATCTCATAAAGAATCTTACCTGGTTGAACAACAGCTACCCAATACTCCTGAGGTCCTTTCCCACCACCCATACGCACTTCACACGGTCTTCCCGTGACCGCCTTGTCTGGAAACATACGTATCCAAATCTTTGCACTACGTGGTACATGTCGCACCATTGCTCGTCTCGCTGCTTCTATCTGTCTAGATGTGATCCAAGCGGGTGCGAGTGTTTGAAGTGCGTATCTTCCGAAGCAGATACGATTGTCACCGGATGATATTCCTCTTAGTCTTCCTCGATGGTGTTTGTTGAATTTGCTGCGTTTTGGAAATAATGTGCCGGAGGCCTTGCCGGCACTGTTTCCGGGTTTCTTTTTGGAGCTCTTGGAGGAGATTTTTTTGGTACTCTTTTTGGCTGGGCTCTTGGCGGTTGGTTGCTTGGCGGTGCCGGAACTGTTGTGTACCTCTCGTAGACCGTTCATTGTGGCTTGAATCTTGTCTTTTGTTGGAAGTATTGTGTGTCTGAAGTGCCATGTCCCAGGAACCTAACCACAGTGAATGTAAAAACAATCAGGTTATGTTTTTTTTTAAAAACATGTACGTTTTGTGAAGATTTTTGTTTGTTTGTTTTTTACCTGTCCGAAGCGAGAACCAGGGAGTGCAACTATTCCAGAGGAGTTGCGAAGGCTTTTGTTGTAAACTGTTCTGTTAACTTTGGGAGGGCTAGAAAGAACTTGATCAGGGTAACCCTGAGGCATGAGGGTCATTAAAAAATAGGGCTTAGGATTTTTTACTAGACCATGATGTTTTGACAGAACAAACAAGCACCAAACAACGCTAGCTTAAAGGCAAACAAACATCAATTAGATGTTCTGTAACAACAAGGTTACAGATTCTGTTCAGGATCTCACTAGACAGAGCACATGTAAAGAGTAAACAGAGTACACAATCTATAATGGTGTTGAAAATGACTCATAAGAAGAAATGAAACGAAATCCACACTGAAAGTTGAAAACCTTAATCCAAAACTGAAACAATTACAGATCAATCAATTTTGAGAACACACCTTGGGATTGATGGAGACAAGAGGAGTAACGGGAAGAGATGAAGTGGGATCAGAAGCAGCCATGTCCAAAGTAGAATTCAAGAAACGAGACAGAGTAAGAAGAGGAGCAGGAACACGAGTAGATGATGTTGGAAGAAGCGAGAGAAAGCGTTGGCTTGTGTGATGTTGACGACGAGTTAGGTCGGCGAGGCTTTTAGCTTGGCCAGTTAAGAACCACCGCATCTTGAGATCAGTACGTGATCCCCAAAAGCCCAAAAGATAGAGAAGTTTTCTCGTGAGAACGAAAGGTTCCAACGAGCTCCTCTAAACCACATTGACGGCTGCACATCCATTTTTGGAATTTTCATTTACTTTCATTTTGCCTTGTTTTCCAAGTTTTTTTTATTTAATTAAAATTGAAAAAATAGCTCTCCTTTATTTTTTTAATAATTATTATAAAGATTTTTTTAAATCTATATACAGTGAAACCTCTATAAATTAATAATGTTAGAACTACACTAAAACTATATATTTATTAGTTATAGAGATTATTAATTTATCGATATACTAATTAAACGAAAAACTCATTTTAGGATTATAAAATTATATTATTTTATAGAGATTTTTAGTGTATATTAATTTGTAGAATATTAATTTAAAGAGTTTATACATTACATTGTTATTAATTAAGAGGGATAGTTTTTTTCTTAAAAAAAATCTGATTATTATTCATTTGAATTTATTGAAAATTGTTAATCAAAAAAAATTGCTGATAAAAAAAATATAGAAAAATTTCCTAATATAGACCTAAAAAGCTTGTCACAAATATATATTTTAAAATTAAAAAGACTAAAAATAAATTAAATGGTTTATCAAAAATAAGAAAATATACACTTATACGTTTAATCCACTTTTTGTTTAATGTTGAAGAATACGGTCTTTAGGATATAATTTTAAAGTTTTTAAAATTAGAAAAAACCTTAATATTTTTAACATTAAAATGTTCTTTTGGTTATTTTAGTTTTTGAGTTCTATTTTTGTGATAAAATTTTTAAAATATCTATTTAAGAGCCCAAAAATATATTTATAATCAAAATTATCGTTTTCTTGACAAAAAAATAATCTATTTTCACCGTAAAATACAAAGATGGATCGGGCACTTGAGTGGGCCTTAAAACCGAAGTAAATTCCTAAATCAAAACCAAACCGTGTCCCTTAATGGCATCGTTTTAGGCAGGACAAGAACAAAACCCTAAAAGTTATCAACTCTGTCCGAACCTCAAAAACGGAAGATTTTGATTCAAACGTATACTTCAGAACAGGAGTAAAGCTAAAGGAAAACAACTTAGTTACTTCGATCATCTCTCGGTGCCGCGTTCTCCTGTATCATCCCCTCTCCATCACTCGCTTGCTTCGCATCCTCAGGTTTGTGTTTCCGCTCTATTGTAGATAGTTATCGAAAGCTGCTGTGAGTGTTACGGTCTGCTTGTTTGATGTAGTCTAGAGCTTTGTTAGTAGTTGTTGAATTTCAACATATTGCTCATGAATATGTTTGATTCTTACTTTGGATACGGAAAAAATGAACCTTTCTTTCTTCAAGCTTGTAATAATGAGTGTTATGTTGCCTCGAGTCGAAGTAGGAACCCTAGAAACTTAGAGCGATGTTGGTAGTTTTGGAGGTTCACTGTAATGGTCATTAGCATGTTAGATACCTGATGTGGATGTTGAAAAATTGAACCTTTCCTTCTTTAAAACTGGTTATTTTGAGAGTTATGGTCTGCTTATTTGATATTTGAGTTTTTGTGTGTGTTTCTTGGGTAGTTTTTATAGGAATTAACTAGGGTTTCTCATGGTTTCATTGCCATCACAGTTCCAGGAAGATAGCGTGATGGGTCAACGGGAAAAGTCTAGCAACAACCACAGTTCCAGGAAGAGAGGAATGGGTAGGAAGGACCAGAAAGGTGGTCGTGGGTTTGATAGAGATAGTAACAAGAGGAACCAATCCGGTGATGCAGCCAACGTAAAGGCAGTGTCGAAGAAACAATCCGAGTTTGAACATCAGAATCAGTTTGTCAGGTAACAGGAGATTTACCATCTGTAATTTTTTTGTTATGTGTAAGAATAGATACTGAATTAGATAACCTTTCTGCAGGAAAGAGATTGATCCAGAAACTTCGAAGTATTTCTCTGAGATTGCCAATCTCTTTGATAGTAATGGAGTTGATTTAGAGGAACGTGCTGTGATATGTGGAAACGCACTTGAGGAGACAAGAGGGAGGGAATATGAAATTGCTACTGACTATATTATAAGTCATGTCTTGGAAACTCTGCTTGAAGGATGTGAGCTTGACCAACTTTGCAGTTTCTTACGTAACTCTGCGTCTGTGTTCCCAGCCATTGCGATGGATAGATCTGGTTCTCATGTTGCAGAGTCTGCTCTCAAATCTTTGGCCACACATCTGGAGAACCCAGATGCCTACTCTGTTATTGAGGAGGCTTTGCATTCCATATGCAAGGTACTTATTATTACTTTTTTCTTTTAGTTATGACAAGCATATTGAGCTTGCTTCTTATTATGAATCTGGTATTTAGTTTCGATTGTGACGTTAAAAAATGTTTCTCTTGGTCAGGGGATTGTTGATAAACCTCTTGAGATGATATGCAACTGCTATGGTTCCCAGGTTCTTCGAACGCTTCTTTGTCTTTGCAAAGGAGCCTCTTTAGATTCCCCTGAACTTCGTGGCGCAAAATCATCAAAAGCTCTGGCAAAACGTTTAAATTTGAAGATGCCTCATTTAGATGAGAATAATATACAGTTTTCCCATCAAGGGTTTCCAGATGTTTTCAGTTACCTATTATCTGGGATTTTAAACTGTAGCAGAAAGGACATGAAGTATCTTCAAGTCGATCAGTATAGTAGTCTGGTCATACAGGTATATTTTATTCCCCTCTCTATTCCTTTGTTGATTTGCAAGCAATTTGTTTATTATGGAATGTTAGTTATATCACTCTCTGGTTCATGGTGATGTTAAATAAACGTTGTTTGACAGACTGCTCTCAGACTAATGGTGAAAGAAGATAATGAGTTGCTTGAAATCATTCCTCTTGTTCTGTGCTGCAACTCTGCAAATAGAGAAGAAGAGGGGGTTCATATAGAGACTGATGTGGCCAAGGACATTTTAGAGTTAATGAAGGATAATTCATTCAGTCATTTGGTTGAGGTAACTGAGTTTAACCTCTGGCTGAGTTGCTTATACTAAATTTAGGAGAAATTGCACATAATAGTTGATTACGTACATACTGCTGATTTAGTCGATTCAAAGCAGCATTTAGAATGTTTTGTTTGTCCTGTATGATAGCCACTTATCTGTAATAGTACTGTTATTATTCTTAAGCAATCTTCTTACGTTTACATGTCATTTTTCAGGTGATTTTGGAAGTGGCTCCTGAGAGTCTGTACAACGAATTGTTCCACAAAGTTTTCAAGAATTCGATATATGATCTTTCTCTTGATCAGCGTGCAAATTTTGTTATTCAAGCTTTGATCTCCAATGCAAAAGACCAAGATCAGGTATTCTGATCCTACCGACACTTCATGTTTTTCTGCTGTGTTTGGTACTTTTCATTTCAGGGTTTTTAAGCCTTGATCGTAATTGTGCTCTTTCCTTGAAGCCGACAAACTTATGTTCAATTGCTTTTGTATGCAAGATGGGTTTGATATGGGAAGAATTAGCTCCAAGATTCAAGGATCTTCTTGAACAAGGGAAGTCAGGTGTTGTGGCTTTTCTCCTATCTGCTAGCCAAAGGCTTCAAAGTCATGAACATAAGGTTAAAAATTCAACTGAATTTTTTTTGTTCCGTTGTTTAAAGTATGTTTTCTTTTAGAGAATTAGACAAATATTTCCTACTGATTTTACAGTGTCTTGAGGCCCTTGCTGATGCACTATGCTCCAAAAATGAGTCTCGTATCTCCCTTTCTCCACGGTTGTTGTTTCTTGATAACTACTTTTATTCCCAAGATAAGTCTTCATGGGAGTGGGCACCTGGTGCAAAGATGCATCTCATGGGCTGTTTGATCCTTCAGATAATTTTCAAGTTTTCTAGCGTATGTTTCCTTTTCTCCTTGGTGTTCACCAAAATAGTCTCATTGGGATTCACTTCTCAAGTTTGGCTGTTCATGAGAGTTCACATTATTTCTAATTCTTTTTTGCAATTCTCTCAGGAACTTATACAGCCATACATAACAAGCTTAACTTCTATGAAACCTGAGTATACCATTGAAACAACAAAAGATTTAGGCGGAGCACAAGTCATCGAGGCCTTTCTTGCCTCAAATGCTGCTACAAAGCAGAAGCGTAGACTAATTATAAAGTATGCACTGCTTCTTTATGGTATTTGTTTATATGATTACAATATCCAGAACTGAAGCATAGGGATTATTGGCAAAGTTGTAGTTTTCTGCAAGCAATTGTTCCTTATCCTGATGATGTTTCTTTTCACCTATGACTTCTTGACAGGTTACGTGGACATTTTGGCGAGCTCTCATTACACACATCGGGCTCATTCACTGTAGAGAAGTGTTTCGACGCATGTAACGTGGCACTAAGGGAAGTCATAGCAACTGAATTGTTGGAAGTGAAAGCTGATCTCTCAAAAACAAAGCAAGGGCCTTATCTGCTTAGGAAGCTAGATATCGATGGGTAATATCTTAATACAAAACGTTCTTTGCTTTATTTGATTGAAGTTATAACCTTAAGAGAATAAATACAGAGGATTTAGTGACCACAGTGGCATGTCTCGAGTGTGGATACATACATGTATTCTTTTGCATCTTTTACCTCGTTCATCATTTTGAAGTGCTATGGAATATTTTCTTTGTTGCAGGTATGCCTACAGACCTGATCAGTGGAAATCAAGACAAGAAGCTAAGCAATCGACATATAACGAATTTTGTTCTGCATTTGGGTCCAACAAATCAAACTTTCCGAAGAACACCTTTGTTTCTGACGCAGCTGAAGATGCATCTCAGGAGATAGAAGTAGAGAACACAAGGAATGAGAGTGACCATCCTCCTACTTCTGGGGTTAAGCGCCAGCGAGAAGAACTTGCAAAGGATAAAAATGTATCTTCTGCAGGTGAGAAAGGGACGAAACAGAAGAAGAGCAAAACTAATGAAGCAACAGATAAACCAGCTACCAAGAAAAAACCTTTCCTTTCTGGCGAGATGATTGGAAAGAATCGGCACTCAAATAAATTGAGAATTTGAAGGTCAGACTGCTTAATCTATTTTTCTTTTCTCTAAGTTTTATTGAAGATGGCATCATTGTTAAAGTCTTTTTGGCTAGATCTACCCTCTGAACAATGATATAAGAGAAAACTATTTTTTTCGCATTACACTTCAGACAAACTTATAGAGGTCTAAGCCTACTCTAGGAACTGTTAACAGTGGCAAGCTTATACAATGAGTTTTTATGTTTCAGTTACAGATCCAAAAATAAGTGTAAGCAGTCTACACTACCAAAAAAAAAATATTAGAAAGATTCAAGTCTTTCAAGAGAAAAATGAAATCTATGGTTCTGTTCTTGTGATCTGCTGATTTCTACTTCCTCGTGCGTATGTTAAGGGACCTTTCCTGATACAAACATACACAATCTTGGTGTCAACTATAAACATTCACATAGGGAGATGTTAAGAAAACTAATTTGAGAAGATTGAAAATTGATTGGTGTGGTGTTGGCTTTACCTGTTTTGTATAGGGCTGGATCCACTCCTTGGGATTCTTCGGAAACTATCTTTTTCACCTCGTAGAGACTTCTCCTTCATGTCCTTGTTTATGTTCAAATCTCTCACAGTTTTACTAGAAGCTACTTCCATGGAAGCTGGCACCATCTGACGACCCTCTACGTTGCTGCTACAAAAAACTAGAAGTAGCAGAATCAGAGCTGCTGAAGTCGACACAGGTGTTTGCAATCCTTTCATTGTGAATTCTCTTTTTTGATCTTTTTCTTTTTTAATCTTGGAGCTTAGGCTCTTGAGACTGCAACTGAGAAAACTGTTTTGAGTTTAAAAGACAGAGAGACTGAAACTCTTGTAGGATTATATTATTGTTCTAAGTTACTTTTTGGGATCTAATCACGTGCTTTAGTTTGACTCCTGTGCTAATTTTCATTTTTCCCAATTGTGTTTCAGATGGTGAAGATATTTTTTTTTCGTTTTAAGTCTAATAACCTCTAAGACCATTTCAGTGATGATTAGTACTCACTTATAGATCTTTGTTTCGTTGATCAGTTTATGCAAAAAAAAAGATCAGTTTATGCATAAACAATTTACCCACGTCTTTGCCATGAAAGGTAAATGTGATTGGGAAGAGGATCATGTGATAGGGCACGTGGTTAGTGGTGTCGTTATTAGTGTAGTCCGAGAAGAAAATTTGCAGGTAAACAACGCAATGACTTCATAAATAATCATCAACTGTTTTTATTTTCCTTTTTTAATTACAAGCTTTGAAAAGAATAGGAAAGGCAATAAGTGAGACAAACAAAGATGAAATGCAAGTTTTCTTGTCGTTTTGTAATCCTCGAGCTTTGCAGAACTTCTCAGTTCAAGCCTCGTTTTAGCTTTAAGAGTTCATATGGTTTCACTTTGACATGACAATGTCTTGTGTTAGTGTAGACGAGGTTTCTGCAATCATTTGTTGCGTCTTTGATTAGAAAACAACATAGGACTCTTGTGTTAATCTGAGTAAAACAAAAGCTCTGAGTTTCAAATTCTCTTGGCATAGAAAAATGATATACTTGGGTAACAAAGAAAGCTCTTAAACACAAAAGCAAATATCAAGGAGAGACCAGTGACCACTACACAGTTTGACTCTAGATACAACCTTCAAGGATCAACAGAAGAAGCAGCAGCATTGGAGCTACTACTACTACTGCTACTAGTATTGCTACAAGAGACTCTCTTGTCTCTGCTCAGAAACCTCCTCAAAGACCTCAACCTCGTTGTCATTGGAGACTTTGGCTCTTCCTCTTCAGCAATAAACCTCAATGATGATGAAGACGGCACATTTTGACTTCTACTTGCAGACTCATTGATATCAAGAACAACAGCCTCTTGACTAAGACCATTACCATCTTCCTGAGACCCAACATTGGTGTTTCTAGTCCTAACCTGATCTTGGCGACCCCAAACCAAGACATTGGTGGGGAAGTCCGAAGACGAACCCGAAACCTGAGACAAAGCATCTGATACACTGTCAGAAACTTGTTCAATAATTCCCTTTGAGCTACCTTGCTCAGTACCAAGAACAGCGTTTCTGCAAATGGGACAAGTAGAATGAGACTGAAACCACATGTCAATACACTCAACATGGAAACTATGGCTACACTTTGGAAGCAGCCTAGCTTTGTCCCCCTTGACAAGCTCAGACAAGCAAATAGCACACTCCAAACCATCTTTACAACTGTCTTGTCTGAAAAAGACAATAGGCAACGAACTGAGCTCAAAAGAGGTAAGCCCACCAGTGTTGGGTAAAGCGTCTTGCCCCGGGACGAAGATAAAACGACGTCGTTGTCTGCGAGTGATTATTACAGGTGGAGAGATAGATGAGTTGTCTTCTTGTTCTTGTTCTTGCTCTTGTTGCTGTTGGAGGTGATCTATTCGCCACCAGTAGAGTTTGGCGTAGAGGTGGAGGATAAGGACGAAGAGAACAGCCATGAAGAGAACAATGACTGCTGTGAGAATGATCTTGCTTGTGACTTCTTCTGTTGATAAGTCTCCGAACAATGAGCTATGAGCAGATCTATCATCGTCCATTGATGACAAGGAGAAGTGTTTTTGTTGGAAAAAGGATGTGACTTTATGTGAACTTAGGGGGGTTTTGTTGGTAAAGGTTGGAGCTTTATGTGAAATTAACAAGAAAAGGTCTCTGTTTTAATCTCTCTCAAGGCCATGGACATGGAAAGAAAACAAAAGCAGTGAAGAAGAAGAAGAATGATAATTGATAAGAGAGAAGCAATGAAAGAGATGAAATCGAGGAGTGGGGCCAAGTAACTCTTCCCTATAAAATCTCTCTTACTCCTCCACCACAGTGATTCTTTTCTTCTCCATTAACTTGGGGTTTACGAAATTAACAACACTAATTATTATTTTCCTGACTTTATTATTTTACTGCGGAAGATATAACTTTTGACAATATTTTTCAGTAAACATTATTCTCTCCATTTCTGAACAATTATAACTTTGACAGACAGATTAAAAAAAGTAGCGGAAATATAAGTAAAATATTATTAATTATACTTTTTGACCAATAGTATTTAAGATAAATAAAATTATTTATAAAATCAATGTAGTTTTCAATTAGTTTTCAGCTTAAAATAAATCTAATTTACATTGAAATTGTAAAATGATATTTTTTGTAATAAGAAAATTAAAATGATATTTATTATGAAACAGAGGAAATATAATTTAAATTTTTTAAATTAGTATTTTTTTTTTCTTGCCTGACTTTGAGTAATAGTTACCGATGCATCAATAAACTTGACCAGTGAAAAAAATTGTAGTGATAAAGACCATTCGGCAACTTGCTAATGTGAACCGTTGTAATATTTGTTTGTACTATACTGTTGTACCGACCACTACATTGCCTTTCTTGGAGGGGACTATTCCAATTTATGCTTTTGTAAAAATTGTAAAAAAAAAGTAATTAATTATGTGCACTTTTACAGAGCCGAATACTTTGGACATTTAGTCTGAAGAAGTAGATGATTTTAATACTAGCCACAGAGAGCTTCAAATATTACTAGGACCAATTCGAATAGGCATTTGATGAATCTCCATGGGTAGTTGTATTCCAACTATATTAGTACTATAGCTTTACAAATGCAGCTTATGGATGATATTTAATTAAATGTTGTTACTAGACAAACATGGATATGGAGTGCATTATAAACTAAAATGATGGTGTGTGTCGACTGGTTTACACATCTTTTTACACTCTTTTAGTCTTTCCACGATATTGATAACCCTCCACTACGTTTTTTACTCGCTAATATGCGTTAATTTTTTTTTAATAAACAAGCAAAGAAAGTCAAATGTAATAGATGACAATAGGACATCCACTAACTTTAGATAACTAAAATCGTATTGTATCTACATATTTGAGCTAATGAAGATCCTTTTAGGCTTTCAAGATCAAAGGAAGTGGAAAACAATCCTCCTGCTCGTGTCCTATGTTTAAGGATCTTGTCCTTTCACGAAGTGGAACCTTAAAGCCATTTCCAGCTTCAGGCACTCATAAATATATGTACAGAAAAATGTTTGAAATCATTATTTTTACGAGGGTAAAATGGTTATGATATCAATCAGTCCACGTCTGAATTTTTTATTAGTATTCGAATCTTAATACTACTAATAAAATGTGTCAGATTTAGATTACAGTACTTAACTCATATAAATAACTTTGTGTATAATCCCAAAACGGTCTTTCAGTCGGTTGAGTCATATAATCAAAGTTTCAACCTATAACACACATCTTAAAAAAAAAACCTACAACAAACACATCAACCTGATTTCTTGCTCAAGAAAAACAACCACTTAACATTTTATAAAGTGTCCCCTCTTTACTCAAAATGATCATTAGGAATTAGGAAACTGTAACATTGTCTTTTTTTTTTTGTATTACAAGTCAAAAGATTATGGTTACTAGGCAAAATGATGACAGAAGAATTATGACCTCCTTCACCCTCTCCGTATAATAATAACATATCCTTTTCTTAAAATTATTATTCTCCATAGATCCTATGGATTTCACATTAATTTCATATCATACTTCTTAAGCAAATTCATGTCTCTTCAAACATTGAGTTAGTATTACTTTTGGTTGCAAGAACTTGTCATAAATCAAAATGAATATGTACCACGAGAACCGTTGATCCATTCCATGGATGGACCGGCTCACTTTTAACAAATCATTTATGTCTTACGAAGATTATTTTAGTACAAAAGATTATTTTAGTACGACGAGAAAACACTTTAGTTTTTTGGGCTTTAGACTGACATTTTTGGGCTTTATTAAAATCCACAAGTTGCAATTGTTATGGCTCAAATGGGTTCTAACTTCTAATTGAATTAACGGGTCGGGTCCCTCACTGATCCGTCTTTTTCAAAGCCTCAAAAGTCAATTTGCACTCAAAACAGGTCGGACCGGTTGTCTCCTGTTTTTCTTTGTTGGTTCTTTATAGGGTAATCACTAGATATGGTTAATTTTGCTTTGCCTTTACTCAAATATCTCATGATTTGTTTGGGCATATACCGATTCAAACGGAATCTTTATTAAACCATTTTGAATCTGATCATATATTGATTTGAATGTTTAGTTTCTAGATATGATTTTGGTGTTAGGTTTTTTCATTTTTTGTAGTTCAATGTTAGTATTTTTTTTTGCTGAAGAGTTTTCTTTTATATTTTTTTTCCTTTACAGTTATTTTCAAAACCTAAATAGTATACCTTTGGTTTTGTTTTTGCTTATAAAAACAGTCAAAATTTATGAGAAATTGAGATACATAAATCAGGGTTTTCACTTAAACCTACCACACCAATTGTAAAATCCCCTAAAAAAACTTTCCAACTCTTAGGATATATTTTATTCGTGTCATTTTAGTTGTCATTTTGGGTTTTACGCACAAATTAAAAAAAATATTTAATTTTATATATTCTTTAGAAAAAAACACAATTACCTATACATATAACCACATTTCAACCAATAAAAAATATAATAAAATTGATAAATTTTACATTGAAATTATAAAAATGACATTTATTTTGAAACGTAAATTTTATTCTCTACCTACATATAAATTGAAACAGAGGAAGTAATATTTTCTATAAATTTTTTGATCGAATGATTAATTGCTTCTTTGTTTAAGAAACATCTAAAACTACAGCAATTAAAAACCATAGTTTAAAGCCTAAGTTACAAAAAGGGCCATAGTTTAAGAGACACACACGCATATTATATACATTTATATCCTAAAAGGCCAAGTGGTTAGATTTTGTTCTTTTCGCGTGATCTTACCGGTCCAACTCAAAGCATATATGTTATGTCCTTACACAACGATATAGAAGATAAGCAATACTCTAGATGTATGTGTATGATTCATATATATATATATATGTATGGAACATTGGAACTAAAACCTATTTTTGTATAAAGTCAAACGTTTTCTCTCCCTTGATTAATGAAAATTTACCAGGAGACCACATATTTGGGGCCGTCAGAAAATTATATGACATAATGCTATTCATACATGTAGTACCAAACAAGGTTTATGCTATTACCGTTTGACTAATATTTTTCTTGTCTATTTATTTACGAACTCCAGGTAGCGCTTCTTTAAATATTTGCAAATGGTACAAACAAATCTGTAAAAGGTGACGTAATATATTATCTTCTCCTACTAAATAGGTGTATCTGGAGCAGGAAATTGGGATTATACATGTTGCAAAAGGACAATATAAGCCAGGACATGTTATCTTTCAGTGGAATTGTATGCATCAAATCAAATATTCCGAGCAAGTCGTCGAATTAATCTGTCTTACAAAATTATTTATCAATTAACAAGAAATATTGAAACTGTAAATTAAAAAGAAATAGAGAAGAAAATTTCAAAGGAACAAAAAATATTTGGATGAGTTCTCTTCAAGACAGAGAAACATATAAGCCGATGTGCTGTGTTCTGAAATGGATACGATCCCTAACCAAGAAAATAACCAAAAACAGGTTATTAATAAAATAAAAATACATTAGCTATTATCTATTCCTCATTCGATCGTGAGGTGAGAAAACGACAAGCTTGATTAAACCTGGATTTGAGGTACTTGAATAGTTGAATATATAAATAACAAATAGCTCGGGATTGAGAAAAAGTTATTAGAGATTCGCCATATATGATTTAACCTAAAATATTTCAGTGGAAAACAATAGCTAAGATGAAATAGCTTTTCTTATTTACATGAAAGATTAGATCCGCTTATACCGAAAGGCTAATATTAATAATATGTTATCGTTAAAGGCTAATAATATGTTATCGTTGTGTAAAGTCACACAACAGTTTATTCTCAATCTGAGCCACAGGTTTCCACTGAATAGGTAACTATTCTTTGGATGCCTTTCGAATTCTGTTACTTAAATATGTTATTACAAATAAAAAATATAATTTCATACCATCATTATTTACTGTTTCTAAGCACTAATTAAAGTATTAAACATTTTAATCATTATGGCATCTTTTTAATTAGCCTTCTAAACATTTCTTAATCTTCTAGTACCCACACAAACATAATTTTGGTTTTAACCCAACTTATGACATAAAACGTCATTAATAATATAAATATTTGTTTTGATAAAATTTAATAATAATAGAATCATAATAATATGAAAACAAAGTATATACATATTTTGCTATTAATTAATCACAGTAAGCATTTGAATTTTATTTCTTGTAAATTACTACTTCAATTTTCATCTGAAATCTATAATACAATAATCTGAAAAGTCGAAGACCCTTGATAAGTGTAATACCACCTTGTTTATGTTAAGTTGTCAGGCATCATATACGCCATTTGCCCGTTTAGTAAATTAAACAAACACAACACATGAACAGCTTCGAGTATTTTTATAACCCAACAAATCAAAAGTCAAACAAAATAAATAGTATCCCTTTTCACCAAAAAAAAAACAAATAGTATCATTTAATCATCTTCTTTATATACCTTTCGTTCTTTATGACCACTATCTAATGTTAAATGTGGCTTACACTTGGCGCAATAAAAAAGGAATAAAGAAAAAAGAGGAAAATACAAAAGATGATTATAAAAATAAAATATTAAACGAAGATATATGAAAAAGGTGTGTAACACCACCACTACGAGCCACTACTAACCAAGCCGCCCCAAAAGGTAAACGCCTCTCATCTCTTATAAATATACAAAATAATCATCATACTATTCCTCACCTTTTTTTATTATTCACTTTTGTTAATGTTATTTTATTTCACATCATAGTGTTTGTGCTCATCATGATTATAATATCATCAAA